CTCCAGCAACTCTTCCAAGAGTGTTTTTTGTTGCATCCGGGCACAAGGCATTTGTCCAACTCTTTCTTCTTCCCCCCACCTCCTTGCTGTTGATAGCCTTTCCTGAAGGAAGCTTTATCTGCTGCACCCATGCCTCCTTCTAGACCTCTTCCAGCATCAACCTTGCGAGCCTCATCAGAAATTAGAACCTCCCAAATCCACACCTTGGTCCATTTCTGTTGCTCGAGGTGAAGGTACTGTAGTAATGCCTCATTAGCCGCTTGATCCAACCCTTGGAGCGCAGTATAGATGATCTCCTTCTCATCTACTGTGTAATCCAGCTCCTCCAAAGCCCGCACATTCTCATCCACCCTCTGGAGATACTGAACCATGGTCTCCCCCTCCCCATAGTTCCGCTCCATGGTGTAAAACCGCTTCCGCCAAGTAAGCACGCTTAGTAGCCCTTTCTGCAAGTGCCTATCTTGTACTCTTTTCCAAGCTGCAGCCGCTGCACCTTCCTTCCCCTTCAGGTCAATCAGCATCTTAAGAAGCTCAAGTTGCCCCTCCAAAGCCCAACACAGGTACTGAAATGCCTGGCGATCCTTCCGATCCCATGCTTCTTGAGCTTTGAGCAACTCCCCGCTACTTGGTTGCGACCTTCCGGTTCGAGTTGCAGCGGTTCCTCCTTCATTCACCCCACTCAACGACGCTCCCCCAGCCCCGGATCCCACTTGGCTGGTTGCTCCAGTAGACGCCTCGCCAGAGTCAGCTCGTGGTCGCTTCTCCGATCCATCCAACACACTTTCTAGGTCCTTAATACCTAGCCATAGTGTGAACTGGAACCTCCATAGCGAAAAGTCCGAGCCGGTAAACCTAGGAGGGCCATCCAACTTTTGGGCCATGTCAAACCCTAGATCTGGAGCACTTCAAGCCTCTCTAGATCTCTTCCAATGGAGGAAAGAACGTCCTCTAACCGTGGCTCTGATACCACTGATGGAAATCGTGCAAATCTGGAGAGAATTAATTAGAGATTAAGTCTGACGATCTTAACGGAACATTGCGTACAGCTCAGGTAACTTCTAGAAATGAGCTTATACGCGTTGGAAAGGTCTTAATCTCTACTTTCCAGAATGGTAAAGCACGTTCATAACCAAGATCTGAGCCGCCGATTATGACGAAATCAGTGTGAGGAGATATTCTGGTAATTTGGCTAGGCAGCCATGAATGACCTAGTCAAAACGAGAGGGGCAGCAGTTAGATCTGGAAAAGTTCGAGAATGAGATTGTCACACACCACCAACCCTCGCCCTGGACCAAACCCTAAGACTCCCAAGTGCCACATCTGCAATATCAAAGATGTTGTAGTGGGTTTGGGGTTGTATGGATTGGAAAGGTAACAAGATCAAACCTAGCCAACCAACCCACATCTTTTGCCCAAATCCCAATAGCCCACAACCAGCTAGAGCAAACTACACCACAGAACACTACACATTTATCAGTTCCTTCACTGCCGTGCCATGCATCTGAGTCACGCCGTGCCATGCATGTGAGTCCTGCGGTGCCATGCATGTGAGTCATGCCATCGCATGCATGTGAGTCATGCCGTGCCATGCATGTGAGTCATGCCGTGCCATGCATGTGAGTTGTGCCGTGGCATGCATGTGAGTCGTGCCGTGCTATGCATGTGAGTCGTGCCGTGCCATGCATGTTGGTCATGCCGTGCCATGCATGTGAGTCATGCCGTGCCATGCATGAGAGTCCTGTCATGCCATGCATGTGAGTCATGACGTGCCATGCATGTGAGTCATGCCGTGGCATGCATGTGAGTCATTTCGTGGCATGCATGTGAGTCATGCCGTGCCATGCATGTGAGTCATAACGTGCCATGCATGTGAGTCATGCCGTGCCATGCATGGGAGTCATGCCGTGCCATGCATGTGAGTCGTGCCATCCCATGCATCTCAGTCATGCCGTGCCATGCATCTGACTCATGCCATGCCATGCATGTGAGTCGTGCCGTGCCATGCATTTGAGTCATGCCTTGCCATGCATGTGATTCATGCCGTGCCATGCATGTGAGTCGTGCCGTGCCATGCGTGTGAGTCATGCCATGCCATGCATGTGAGTCCTGCCGTGCCATGCATGTGAGTCATGCCGTACCATGCATGTCAGTCATGCCATGCCATGCATGTGAGTCGTGCCGTGACATGCATGTGAGTCATGCCTTGCTATGCAAGTGAGTCATGCCGTGGCATGGATGTGAGTCATGCTGTTCTATGCATGTGAGTCATGCCGTGCCATGCATGTGAGTCATGCCGTGCCATGCATGTGAGTCGTGCCTTGCCATGCATGTGAGTCGTGCCGTGCCATGCATGTTAGTCATGCCGTGCCATGCATGTGAGTCATGCCGTGCCATGCATGTGAGTCGTGCCATGCCATGCATGTGAGTCATGCCGTGCCATGCATGTGAGTCGTGCCGTGCCATGCGTGTGAGTCATGCCATGCCATGCATGTGAGTCGTGCCGTGCTATGCATGTGAGTCATGCCGTACCACGCATGTGAGTCATGCCATGCCATGCATGTGAGTCGTGCTGTGCCATGCAAGTGAGTCATGCCATGCCATGCATGTGATTCATGCCGTGCCATGCATGTCAGTCGTGCCGTGCCATGCATGTGAGTCCTGCCATGCCATGCATGTGATTCATGCCGTGCCATGCGTGTGAGTCCTGCCGTGCCATGGATGTGAGTCATGCCGTGCCATGCATGTGAGTCATGCCATGCCATGCATGTGAGTCGTGCCGTGCCAGGCATGTGAGTCATGCCGTGCCATGCATGTGAGTCATGCCGTGCCATGCATGTGAGTCATGCCGTTCCATGCATGTGAGTCATGCCGTGCCATGCATGTGAGTCATGCCATGCCATGCATGTGAGTCCTGCCGTGCCATGCATGTGAGTCATGCCATGCCATGCATGTGAGTCATGCCGTGCCATGCATGTGAGACATGCCGTGCCATGCATGTGAGTCATGCCGTGCCATGCATGTGAGTCATGCGGTGGCATGCATGTGAGTCGTGCCGTGCCATGCATGTGAGTCATGCCGTGGCATGGATGGGAGTTATGCTGTGCCATGCATGTGAGTCCTGCCGTGCCATGCATGTGAGTCGTGCCGTGCCATGCATGTGAGTCATGCCGTGCCATGCATGTGAGTCGTGGCGTGCCATGCATGTGAGTGGCTCCCCATGTGAGGTATGCCATGTGTGTGTGTGTTGCCATGCCACGTGCCTGACACTGTGTGCATGCTGCCATCCTAGGGATCTTCCATACCATCCGCACTGCGAGTTGCCCTGGCTGTCGCGCTCCTCCCCTTTTTACCCAGTTGACTCTATCGCACCCACCTTTCTCTCCTGGCCAGCGCTGGGACCCCAGCCTCACTGCCTGCTACCATCCCTGCCAAATCTCTTCGGCTCACACCACCTCCAACACCACGCACTTCCTCCTTATCAATACACCTTCCTTGTTTCCCGCCTTCACCCTCATGACTCTTTCTCTCCCTCCCCGTAGCACCTCCTCTCGTGGGCAGTGCAGTTGCTGAAGCTACTACCCGCATCAATCAACTGACATCTCTCCGTCGGCTTATTTCCCGCCTCTGCTGAAGGTGCCTCGTGTCGTGTCACGTGCGCCAGCAGCACACTAGGGGCGCCTCATCGCAGCACGTGCTTCAGGCGCGTCTCCAAGAACAGCTTCACCCATGTCTGGCTGACAAGCAATATCAAGGAGCTTTGTTGTATTAAGGTTTGGAAACAGGTTTTAGCATAGGCAAGTGAAGGGAGTATACATTATGTTGTGGCTGCTTCATTGGAGGGAGGGAGACCCCCATTGCGTTTTAGCAGGCTGCGTTGCAGCGCCAAAGCTACCAGCCACGGCTCCCCGCTAGGGCTCTGGCTTAAAGGGTAATGATCCTTAATGACTTCAAAAGTCACCTCGTTAAAATGTCACACGAAATTTTTGCCTCAAGAAGAACCATTCTCGCTTGGAGGCTGCCGAAGAGCGTTGGGAATTTTTTAATTTCTGCTCATTAGTGTTAGAACTACAGTAGATTTTGTACTGTATGCTGTATCTTTCTTTTCCCTTGCCTCGTCGAGAGCCCGCAGAGGAATGCCTCGCGGGAGTCCTCGAGATTGGTATTTATAGGCTAGCTAGCTTGCTTTTTTCTTTGTGGTCTGAAGAAGGCTCTCGAGCCGAAACCGGTTACCATCAATTTTTCACAAATAGTTTTTCAAGCAAGCTCTCTACGTTTTTACTTAACCGTTTTCAGTTGCTGCCACATAAAGACCTATGGCACCCAAGTGATGTTCACTCGGACTTACTCTCGACTCTACAATTGCCTACTACAAATTCAACACTAGCAAAACAACACCAACCAACACCAAGAGTGACCGCGCTCCGACACCCCCGAGGCCTTTGAGAAATTCGCTGCGCATTGCGAATATCAGGCAGGCTACTCGCACGGATAAAGAGGTGGTCGTTTCAGAGGAGGAGATACCTATTTCTCCTTCCACTTCCCGTCATAACAAGAAGCGCGCTCGAGAATATTTCGAGGCTACTCTTGCTACGACTATCAAAGCTCCCGGAGTCATTCATGTGGCAATGGCTTCGCCTAGCTCCAGTCACGCTCCTCGACAGGGAGCAGTTCAAGGACTTGAGGATATTCCTATTCCTCGCAACATTCTTATGTCGGACACCTTGGATTTTCTTGGTGCTTTTAACGCTTAACAAGCAGGCAACTCCTGCTCAGTTTAATGCTCTCAAGAATCAGGCTGTTTCCGATTTCAAGAAGCATTTTCTTAAGCATCGGACCCTGATGCAGCAGCACGCTTTCATGATGGATCAGAAGAAAAATGGCATTATTCCGCATTCCATTCGGATCAAGCCGTTCACTTCTGTCTGCAATATCGAAGATCTTCGCCTCGAAGCCGACAAGGACCTCGAAGCCGCTCGACTGAAGTATCGTCAGAATGCTCAAGAAATTCTGATTACGATGAAGAAAAAGGCTGTTGACCAAGCTTATGGCAAGGCTACTGCTGTTCTTCAGTCATTGCATAACAACCTCGACCATTTTATCAATCTTAACAAGAAGACGGACCTCAGAATCAAGCATCCTAAGCTTTTCGACAACTTGGATTTTTTCAAGAGTCGTGTGATTCTGGAGTATCAGAATTCGATTTCGATGTTCTACTTGGATACTAATATGGATGAAACAGTGTTGAAGCAGAGAAAGGAGGATCTGGATGCAAAGAAGGCAGCTGCGACTGTCGAAGCAGAAACCCTCCCGGTGGATACCTCTGTTCGCGAGATTACCCGCCAGGATGTGGCGAAGATTATGAATCAGCGTTCTAATTGGACAACTGTAGGCAGCTTTCCAGTTGTGCAGTCAGGACATTTGCTCTGCTGCCCAGCTCCTTCCTTGACCTCCACCCCCTTCAGCTCCCCCTTCTTCACACACTCCAGCAGTTGCTGCTTCCCCGCGTGCCCCATGCGAAGGTGTAGCAACTCAGGTGACACCGTTTCCACCTGCCTCCAGCGAGTGCTACAAGCGGCTTCCTCAGGAAAAACCATACGTGCCTTGTAACAATTAGGCACACAAGCTGGAACAAGGTATAAACCCTTGTCCAACTTTGCCTCCATCACCACAGCTTCACCCTTTCTAACAGTACACCCTCCCTCAGTGAAAGTGCAAACGTATCCCTGTTTAGCCAGCTGCGAGCATGAAAGGAGGTTTGCAGCCAAACCAGGGACGTGAAGGACCCCCTTCACACCCACTAGCTCCCCCTCCTTCCCCTTAATGGTGATCGTGCCGATGCCAATTGCTTGCAGCAAATCCCCGCTCCCAACAATCACGTTCCTCGAATTTGGTGGGAGAGGATGGTAGGAGGTGAAGAGATCACGGCGAGGAAGCATCCGAGATGTTGCTCCAGAGTCTAGAACCAGGAAGTTGGGATCAGCCAATGCACGACCAGCGAGAGCTGCATCCTACCCTAGCATGAGAAACGAGAAACCATCATCGGAGGAGTCGTCTTGGCCCTTCCCCTTCTCATCCTTAGCAGCTGCGGCCGTTGCTCCCTTGCTGCCCTTCTTATTCCAGAGCCCCTTCTTCATCCTTTTCTCCACCCAATCAGGTTTGGTCACTGGTGGGGCCTCTCCTGAGTAGCCGTGAGGCTTCCATCCCTCAGGCCTACTCCAGCAACTCTTCCAAGAGTGTTTTTTGTTGCATCCGGGCACAAGGCATTTGTCCAACTCTTTCTTCTTCCCCCCACCTCCTTGCTGTTGATAGCCTTTCCTGAAGGAAGCTTTATCTGCTGCACCCATGCCTCCTTCTAGACCTCTTCCAGCATCAACCTTGCGAGCCTCATCAGAAATTAGAACCTCCCAAATCCACACCTTGGTCCATTTCTGTTGCTCGAGGTGAAGGTACTGTAGTAATGCCTCATTAGCCGCTTGATCCAACCCTTGGAGCGCAGTATAGATGATCTCCTTCTCATCTACTGTGTAATCCAGCTCCTCCAAAGCCCGCACATTCTCATCCACCCTCTGGAGATACTGAACCATGGTCTCCCCCTCCCCATAGTTCCGCTCCATGGTGTAAAACCGCTTCCGCCAAGTAAGCACGCTTAGTAGCCCTTTCTGCAAGTGCCTATCTTGTACTCTTTTCCAAGCTGCAGCCGCTGCACCTTCCTTCCCCTTCAGGTCAATCAGCATCTTAAGAAGCTCAAGTTGCCCCTCCAAAGCCCAACACAGGTACTGAAATGCCTGGCGATCCTTCCGATCCCATGCTTCTTGAGCTTTGAGCAACTCCTCGCTACTTGGTTGCGACCTTCCGGTTCGAGTTGCAGCGGTTCCTCCTTCATTCCCCCCACTCAACGATGCTCCCCCAGCCCCGGATCCCACTTGGCTGGTTGCTCCAGTATACGCCTCCCCAGAGTCAGCTCGTGGTCGCTTCTCCGATCCATCCAACACACTTTCTAGGTCCTTAATACCTAGCCATAGTGTGAACTGGAACCTCCATAGCGAAAAGTCCGAGCCGGTAAACCTAGGAGGGCCATCCAACTTTTGGGCCATGTCAAACCCTAGATCTGGAGCACTTCAAGCCTCTCTAGATCTCTTCCAATGGAGGAAAGAACGTCCTCTAACCGTGGCTCTGATACCACTGATGGAAATCGTGCAAATCTGGAGAGAATTAATTAGAGATTAAGTCTGACGATCTTAACGGAACATTGCGTACAGCTCAGGTAACTTCTAGAAATGAGCTTATACGCGTTGGAAAGGTCTTAATCTCTACTTTCCAGAATGGTAAAGCACGTTCATAACCAAGATCTGAGCCGCCGATTATGACGAAATCAGTGTGAGGAGATATCCTGGTAATTTGGCTAGGCAGCCATGAATGACCTAGTCAAAACGAGAGGGGCAGCAGTTAGATCTGGAAAAGTTCGAGAATGAGATTGTCAAACACCACCAACCCTCGCCCTGGACCAAACCTTAAGACCCCCAAGTGCCACATCTGCAACATCAAAGATGTTGTAGTGGATTTGGGGTTGTATGGATTGGAAAGGTAACGAGATCAAACCTAGCCAACCAACCCACATCTTTTGCCCAAATCCGAATAGCCCACAACCAGCTAGAGCAAACTACACCACAGAACACTACACATTTATCAATAAGCACAAAGATTCCCCCCCTTTAGGAACCCCAACTTTGACATTTGTCCCTTCCCAACCAATCCATCCAAGTTGGCCACCCTTGCCAACCTAGCTTGGTTGTTCCCAACCAGTTTGCAGCTGTTACAATAGAGTGACAAATTTCCCCAACCCCAAAGGTCCCAACTCCATATGAAGTCACCCCACAACTTCACATTGTAACCGCCGCAATTGTAGCGCAAGCTCATGAACTTTGAATCTTCATAGCTTTCGCGTTCTTGCTCCGATTGAAGTGATTCTTGTTGCGTCGAAAAGATCTTCTCAAGATCTATCATCACAAATACCTGCTCAAACAAAAATAACACAAAACACATTCCCAAACTCCAGAACACACCACACAAATTCTTTCACACGTTCAAACAACACATGCGAATTGAAACAAGGGATGGGAGGCAGACAGAATGTGATAGCATATGATGACATCACACAACAATCTCCTCCTCTGGCTGCCAACCATCATCCACCATACCAACATCTCAAGCATGCATACTCAATGCACACTCATCCTAGCAAGCTTCGTGCCCTTCCAATGATCCGCCTCCGCCAGACGCTTAGTGAAAATATCTGCTGCTTGCTGATGGGTCTTCACTATCTCCAGCCGCACCTCCTTATCAAGGAGTCTCCTCACCCAGTGCCACTTAGGCCTTACGTGTTTTGTCAGCCCATGCAGACAAGCATTCTTGGCGAGCTTCACAGCAGACTCATTGTCACATAACACAACTGTCGGCTCCTCCTGACCAACTCCCAACTCCTCCAGCAAGCGCCTCAGCCACACCACTTCCTTGGCCCCATGGTGTAAGGCCATGTACTCAGTCTCACATGAGGACAATCCCACCTCATTCTGCTTCTTGCTGCGCCAGCTCACAGCACCACCTCCTAGCAAGCACACATAACCCCCAATGCTGGTGCCATCCGCTTTCACTGAGTTGAAGCTAGCGTCAGTATAGCAACTCAAGAGCATCTCTCCACTCTTCACATCTGCAGCACCTCTCTGCAACCGCTGCCTCACTCCACTGTACTCCAATCCCACTGATGCCGTAGCGCTCACATAGCGGACCAACCTCTTGGCCGCTTCCAGCTGCTCATGACTAGGGCGTGAGACCACACTAGCCAACCATGATGTAGCAAATGCAATGTCAGGCCGTGTATGATTTGCAGCATAGTTTAGCGACCCAACCATCGAATGAAACAGCTTCGTGTCACTCTCACCCATCTTGGAGCACTTGAACTGCATCTCCAGCATCTGCTCTGCGCTGTCCAGCAAAGCAGTTGATGTAGAGAAGAGAAGGATATCATCCACATACACCAGGAGCATGAGGATTTCATCCTTCTCCTGTAGCAGGAACAGGCTGGGGTCACACTCACTCTTCTTGAAACCCCCAGCCAACAGCGCCTCCTCCAACTTGTGATACCATGCACGAGGCGCCTGCTTTAGGCCATAGATGGCCTTCTTCAGCCTGCAATTCCTGCCGCTCCCATCATCCAGCCCCTCTCGCTGCTTCATGTACAACACCTCCAGAATGATCCCATTCAGAAAGGCAGTCACAATGTCCATCTGCCGTATCTTCCATCCCAGGAGTGCAGCTATCGCCAACAGCACCCTCAGTGTTGTTCCTTTCCCCACAGGAGCAAACACCTCATCATAGTCCTTCCCCTTTGTCTGCTGAAACCCCCGTGCCACAAGCCTAGACTTGTAGCGGGTCATCTCCCCTTCAGGTCCATACTTGTGCCTGTAGATCATCTTGGAAGTGATTGCCTTCTTCCCAGGAGGCAAGTCACACAAGTCCCATGTCTCGTTCTCAATCAGGGACCCGAACTCCTCATCCTCACTCGCCTTCCACTCCTCCCCATTTGGTCCATTCAAGGCCTCCTCTCGAGTCTTGGGCTCAGGGATTGGTGCCTAGTAGCAGTGAGCGATCTCATCTTCCTCAATCTGCTCAACCACACTCCCAGCCTGCACCACATTCGGCTTGCCTCTTCCCCCATAGGTCAGCCTCACCGGAGGGCGCACATCCCTCCTAGGTCGCTTAGGCGGGTGTGGAACTCGAGGTGGAGACTCATGCTGCTGCTGCTGCTGCTCCACTTCAACTGCTCCCCCTTCCTCAGTCACCCCAGACATCTCCTCCTCAGACACTGCAACCTCCACCTGTCTTGAAGGCCGCTGCACCTCATCTGCCTCCACAATGAGCGGTGTAGATGGAAGCTTCTGTTGCTGCTGCTTCCATTCCTTGTAGTACAGGAACTCAAGAAACTTCACATCCCTTGACAGTATCAGCTTTTGGGTGGTCAAGTCCCATAGCAGCCACCCCTTGTGATCCTTTGCAATCCCCAAGTGCACACCCCATCTTCCAGAAGCCTCCAACTTCCCCTTTTTCTCCTTAGGCACATGAAACACCACCATGCACCCAAATGCTCTCAGCATGTTCACAGCTGGAGCACTCCCATACCACTTGACATATGGGATCCACTCCTTATCCCCAACTGTAGCCAGCACCCTTTTCTTCACAAGGGCGACTTGCCTCAGTGCAGACACCCAAAACGGATCAGGCAGCCCTGCACGCCCAAGGAGAGTGCGTGCCCCCTCTTGCAGGGTCCTGTTGAACCTCTCAGCCACGCCATTCTGCTGCGGGTTGTAGGGCACTGTCAGTTGATGCTGGATCCCCTTCCTCTTCAACTCCCCCTCAAAAGCAGCTCCAATGAACTCCCCACCATTGTCACTACGGATCACCTTCACCTTGTGTCCGCATTCCCTCTGAGCTCTAGGCATCCACTCCTTAAGGACAGCCGGTGCCACCTCCCCCTTGCTCTTCAAAGGGTAAACCCACACTGCCCGAGTATGGTCATCCACAATTGTCAAGAAATAGCGGCTGCCTGAGAGGGAAAGGGCTCTTGTGGGCCCCACCACATCCAGGTGCGCAAGTGCGAGTGGGGTCTTGGCTGGTCCTGTAGTGCTGTTGAAGGGGAACTTGGAGAACTTGGTCTCCAAGCATGTAGGGCAGCTCCCAATCTCCTTCACTCCCCCTTTCACCTCCAAGCCCTTCAGGCTCCTATCCTTCACCAACTTCTGCAGCATAGGGAAGTTCACATGACACAGCCTCTCATGCCATGTCTCCCAATCGGCCTCTCCACTCCTTGATGAAGCCTTAGCCCATGCCGCACTCGCATCCACACCAACAAGCACCTCACCATGTGTCTGCTGCTGCTGCACTTTCTTGACTGCTTCCAGGACCCCATCAGTTGGTGCAGTTGCATCTCCTCCTGCTGTTGCCTTTGCCGCTGCTGCCGTTGCTGATGTTGGAGTCTTCCCATTCTATGGGATGATGGGCAGCTGCCACAGGTCCTTGATGCAGCTGGTCTCCTCTTCCAGACTCCACAGCACCTTCTTCCCAAGCTTAGCACGGCAGCTGGTTGGTCCAAAGGTCACTTCGGCCTTGCTCTTCTGCAGTCGTCGCACAGAGAGAAGGTTAGCAGACAAGCCTTCAACTAGCAGAACATTCCCAAGCCCCACAAGCTCCCCATTAGCTCCCTTAACCTTGGCATTCCCAACACCAATCACAGGGAGCAAAGCACCTGACGCTGTTGCCACATACTTGATCTTCCCAGGGGGTTTTACCTCATCAAGCAAATCTGCCCGTGGGGTCATGTGACTGGTGCAACCCGAATCGATCACCTAGTGCGTGAGAGGGTGCATCACAACCTTTCCCACAGATCCCACATCACCCTCATGCCCATGCACATCCTCAACCATGAAAAACATCCCAGGATAGGCATTACCTTGTGCACCTTCACCTTGTGCACCTTGTGCACAGAGGGGGAGGCGCAACAACAAGAGAGGACGGAGGAGGCGACGGTAGGAGGGTAGGACGAGAGCGCGGGACAGGGGAGACGGGGCGAGCACGGGAGCGACGGCGAGACCAGACGTGAGACGGAGGAGTCGGGTCAGGAGACAGAGGAGGGGACACAGGAGGGGAACGAGGGGGAAGATGAGCCGGAGTCGAGTCCGGGGGAGGGAACACAGGGCCGTAGACAGGGAGAGGAGGAGACGACAGGCGAGGCGGAGACGCAGGGTCAGGGGACGGAAGGCCGAGCAGGCAAAGGGTGGACACCAGCGGCGAATGCTGCTGCGGCGGCACGGCATTGGCTCTGGGACAACAAGCTGCTGCACGGCTACCTCTGGAACACTCCACTCCAGCACCCCCAGAAGGAACACCCCCAGAGCCCGAAACCCCTCGAGCACCGGTACCACCCGTAGGCCCGCTGGGACAAGCCACGACAAGAACCCCACGACGAGTACCCACCCCTACGCCTGCACCCCCAGAGTCAACGAACTGCTGCGCCGACGGCTGCAACGGCGGCGGCTGTAGCGACGGCTGCGGCGGCGGCGGTGGCAGCGACGGCAGCTGCGAGAGCGGTGGCGACGAAAGCTGCAGAGGCGACAGAGGAGGAGACACCTTGGGAGGAGCAGGCGGCGAGGACTGCGCCGCAGGACCACCAGAGTCAGTAGACTCCTAGACCGGGACAACCGACAAGAGGGGGGTGACGTGGGACACACCAGACGGTGCAGGACGGGGAGGGGGAGGGGGGGGGACAGGGGCAACCGAGGAAGGGGTGACCAGGAACAGGGGGGGAGTAAACGACGGACCTTTGTGGGGGAAGCGGTGGTAGAAGGAGACAGACTCGTCAAAGGTGACGTCACGGGAGTGAAAGAACCGGTGAGACGACAGGTGGTAGAAGTGCCAATCGGACGCGTCACGGGGGAAACCGAGGAAGACACAAGGGAGGGTGCGAGCAGTGAGGTTGTCCATGCCAGAGGCACGAACGTGAGCAAGGCAGCCCCAGACGTGGAACGCAGACGCGTCACCAGGAAACCCGGACCAAAGAAGGGTCGGCGAAACCTGCGGCTGCTGGGGGTGCGGCCACAGGTTAAGCTGGTGAGCGGCGTAGCGAACGGCAAACAGCCACAGAAAATGGGGTGCACAGGCATGGATCATGGAGGTGCGAGCCACCTCCATGACCAAACCGATGTGTTGCTCAGCGACCCCATTATGCTGCGGGGAGTTTGGCAAGGTGAACGTCTGGGTGACGCCCTGCGCACTACAGAAACGACCAAGGACACCAGAGGCAAACTCGCCATCATGGTCGTAGTGGAGTTGCAAGACAGGGAGACCGCGGTGGACATGCGCAGAGACAAGCCACGGGATGAGAACGTTAGGCACGTCGGCCTTCCTCTCCAGGGGAGAGACTGTGGTGTAGCGGGTGTAGTCGTCGACAAGCACTAGGAAGTAGCGCTCTCGACAAGGCCCATGGACAGGGGCGGGGCCCCAGACGTCCATGTGCAGAGTCTGTAGCGGTGCGGCGGTAGGGGGGAACGAGGAGGAGTGAGGGGCACGGCGGAGGCGGCCCTCGACACAAGGCATGCACGGTGGTGCTGGGGAGGAGGGCAACTCGGGGAACGACCCTGGGAGACCTAGGAGGAGACCGTGCTATGACATGTGACGCAGATGCGGGAGTCTAGGGTGACCTAGACGGTGGTGCCACAGGAGTGTCGGGTGAGTGAGCGACCGACAGGAGCAGGCAGCAGCAACTTGGGTAGACGCAGCCACCTGAGGGGACGTCCCAACCAGGGGGGTCGCGGTGTCCAGTGTAAACAGTCCAGACACCGGGTCCCGGGGGAACGTGGTGAGGGGGGCACCAGTGGCGGCCTCAGTACAGACAGCATACCGCTCGTGACCAGGTAACGTAGTGGTGACGCCAAGGTCCAGGAGACATCCGACACCAAATAGGTTCCTGGAGAACGAGGGGATGTGCAGGCGTGTAAGAGAGCCCGAAGGAACGCCGGACAGGGAAGGGTGGTGGAATTGCGAGCGACTACCGGGCGCCGGAGGGGGAGTCAGCAAGAGAAACTGCAGCAGGAGCAGGAAGCGGCGTCAGCTAAGTGGAGTCGCAAAAGAAACACCGGGACGCGCCAGAGTCCAAGGTGAAGGAGAGCGCAGCAGCGGTGGCCGGAGTTGAGGCAGCGACGAAAGAACCAAGGCTAAACAAAGTAGGAGATCCTACGGCTGACGCGACAGGGGAGGCACAACTAGACACGGCTACACTAGGCAACAAGGGGTAGTAAGAAGCAGTCACACTAGAGTCATCAATATACATCACATGCAGGGCAGCAACAATCTCATCCATGTCCATATCAAAGATCTGAACACTACGGCGAAGCAAGCTGTGCCAGTCGGGGAGGTCGGGCGACGGGCCGAAGCGCTGATGAAACAGGTCGTCTAGGCGACGAAAACAGCGGACAGAGGTGTGACTGATCTTACCGCAAACGAAGCCACGGCGAGGACTGGTCTGGAGCTGGTACTGACAGCGTCCGTCACCCGAACCGCCACCCGACAGCCCACCACGCGCACGACCACCACGTCCAGCGCCACCACCAGTGCCAGGCCACTCGGGCGGAAGACCACCCGCCCGCCTCTGCTGCTGCGGCTGGTGTGCGTTCGGCTGCGCTGCGGCTGCTAAGACTGCTGCTCGGCTGCACCTGTCAGGGTCCCCTCATCAGCGCTACCACTAGACGACGCGACTCCACCACCACCTCCACCTGCACCGCCACCCCCACCGCTGCGCCCAGCCTTGGGGCGGCAGCCCTTCCCGGAACGGATCGGCGCTGCAGCGGCAGACTCAGCCACATCAGCAGAACCGTCGGAGAAGGTGCACTGAGTGGGGGCACAACCTTGAAAGATAGGGACTGGCACAGTACCGCTGATCTGGGCGATAGAGCGCTGGTGGGTCTCTATGGCAGACAGGTTGTCGACAAATTCAGTGAGGGTGAGGTCACCGGGGTGGATGCTAAGGAACCGGTCGCGGGCAGTAGCAAGACGGTCAGGGAGGCGGGCAAGCAGGTAGAGGGCAGAGCAGAGGGGCAGCTGAAAGGCTCTAAGCTGGGTCTCAGTGCAGGCAGCGTGCCAGGTCGCGTCTATCGTGCGCAGGTGAGCAGCGAGGTCAGCGACAGTAGGGAAAAACGCAAGGTCAGGGAAAGGCATCGGTAGGATCAGGCGACCTACAGAGGCAGTAGGCGGGGTGGAATAACGCTTGACCACGGCATCAAGGAATTCCTGCACAATCGTGACTGACCTAAAGCGGGGGCGCTCAGACAGGGGGAGGGCATGACTGATCGCAAGCTGTGCGACGGCGTCACGCGACAGCCTGACAGAGCGGGCAAGGGCAGCAGCTGCGGCGGACTCACGGTCAGCGGACGAGAGGTCAGCAGGCAGGGGAGCAGGGGGGTTAGGGCAGGGGAGCGTACCGTGAAGGTGGACCGCCAGGGAGTGGCTGTCTTGCCGCTGACCAGTGAGGTGACGGCGGAGGTCGACCAGCCATGTGTCAAACTCGAGCGGCTGACCCTCTGCATTGAAGCGGAGCATGGAGTTTGCCATCAGGAGCGATGCAGCAGCGGTGCAGTGCTGTGCAGGTGCAGTGCGGTGCTATGCGGTGCAGAGCGGTGCAGTGCGGCGCAATGCGGTGTTGTGCGGTGCAGAGCGGTACAGTGCAATGCAGTGCGGTGTTGTGCGGTGCAAAACGGTGCAGTGCGGTGCTTAGCGGTGCAGAGCGGTACAGTGCGGCACAGGGCGGTGCTGTGCGGTGCTGGAGGCCGGCGGCGGGCCGGCTGACAAGGAACGGGTGCAGGTCCGACAAGGAGCGAGTGCAGGGCCGACGAGAGCGGGTGCGAGGGCCGGCTGGAACGGGCGCTAGGGGGCGAGGGGCCGGCTAGGACAGCGCTGGTGGCCGGCGGAAACGGGCGCGGGGGCCAGCTGGAACGAGAGCTAGGGGCTGGCTGGGGTGGACGCGCGGGCTGGCTAGGAACAGGCGCTAGGAGGCCGGCAGGAATGGGCGCTAGGGGGGGCCGGCGGAACGGGCGCGATAGTCGGCTAGGACGGGCGCGAGGGCCGGGTAGGACGGGCATGAGGGGCCGGCAGGACGGGCGTGAAGGGGCCGGCTAGGACAGACGCGATGGCTGGCTAGGACGGGCGTGAGGGGCCGGCTAGGGCGGGCGCGAGGGGCCGGCAGGACAGGCGCGAGGGCCGGCTAGGACGGGCGTGTGGGCCGGCTAGGACGGGCGCGAGTGGGCCGGCAGGACGGGCATGAGGGCTGGCTAGGACGGGCGCGGGGGCCGGCTAGGACGGGCGCGAGGGGCCGGCAGGACGGGCGCGTGGGCCGGCTAGGTTGGGCGCGAGGGGGCCGGCTAGGACGGGCGCGAGGGTCATCAGGAACGGGCGCTAGGGGCCGGGGGGAACGGGCGTGCCGAGGGGAATGGGCGGCTAGGACCGAGTGCGGAAGCGTGGTCGGGCAGCGGGACCTACCTATTGCTGATACCATCTTACAACTGAATAATGATTAGAATTGGAGGGTACAAGGTAATATAAGCTAGGGAGTTGTACCCTCTAAGGCACAAACCTGTATAGTCTACAGTAACATACTAAGATAAGTTTGACAAGTCCACCTCGACTGCTTCGAACCCTGCCTGGGAAACTGTGGACCTGCAACCATTAATGGAGCAGTTGAAGAATTTGACAAGCGTCATCAACGACCTCCGCGATGAGAACCAACGACTCCGCCAAGCGCAGGAGAGGCATCCAGAGGAGCCGAGGGACAACGCACGAAACGGGGTAGGTGAGCAGCAACCGTCGCCAGTGGAGCTGGCACGACTAGCAGCAACAGCCCCGCGCTCGACAAGTGGCAGCGTAAGATATCAGCAACCCGCTCCTTACGACCTAGCTAATGAAGGCGTGACGGTGCGGCAGTGGATATTCGCCATGAATATCTATTTTAACGCGGCAGGCATCAGAGACGATCAGAAGCAGATCAGCCACGCATTAACACTATTGCAAGGGGCCGCCCTGCAGTGGTGGAAGGTCATCGTCGACTCAGCGGCAACTCGCACAGAAGGACAGCACGAGTGGTCCGAAGAATTTGGCAATGAAGACAAGGCAGATTTGTTGTTCGGAGCGACCCACATTCGTACGTGGGCAACGTGGTGCGCAGAGCTTCGCAAGCGGTTTGAACATGCTGCTGACTCAGACAAAGCCCGCAAAACTCTACGCATGTGGAAGCAACTGGGATCTGTGTCCGAGTACACCGCGTCGTTCCAGACGTTGGTGGACAGATGTGGCTGTATGCACGAGTTGGAGAAGGTCGACAGGTACATGGGCGGCTTGAAGCCCAAAATACCATATAAAAATGCAACGCCCTCCGAAGCGGTTACAAGACTATATCCAGCTCGCCGAAGCCGCTGATTCGATCACGAAGCCGAGGACGAACTTCTACGACGGAGGTCGCCCTCGAGAACAGTACTAGTGCACCACGATAAAAGGGGTGGACGCAGTGGATACTTACGCAGTTGCTCCATTGTGGCCGGCCGCCGGGTCACATCCGACGCAACTGCCAAGAATTCATAGCCGTCCAGAATTCTATGGGGAAGAAGCCGGAGGAGCGACCGGTAAATGGGTCGCGTCAGTAAGTACTAGGCCCCTTACTGACGGGCAGGCTTCTTTGCCCGAACCATAGAGTTCCCATCGGGTCGTGATCCCGATTGCTGCAATCGACCGGACCCGGACGAATAAGGGAGACAAAACTGCTGATCACACTGTACTGGTGGAGGGTAAAGTCAACGGGGTGTTATTGAAGATTTTCGTTGATGGAGACGCGAGTCACAGTGTCTTACAACTGGACAGGGCTAAGAAATTGGGTATACCCATACTCAAGTGTCGGCTAAGAAATTGGGTATACCCATACTCAAGTGTCTACCCGAAATCGACGCCCGACCGGTGGACGGAACACCGCTAGCAATACGCGAACGAGTGGAGAACATTGGTTTTACCTATGGGGAGCATGTAAAATTTCGGATGGGACTACTGGCGACTACTCTCGACGGATGTGACGTGCCGCTGGGACGTTATTGGTTGCGACGGTACAACCCAAAGATTGATTGGACGACGGGCGGCTGCAGTATCAAGCTCGATGGAATTTCTCGAGAGCTGCCCAAGTGGAAGGGCCTCGCATGCGAAGCACCCAAGTCCATGCGATCACTTTCAAGCGCGCGATGAAGGCTGGAGCTGCATCGTACGCCGTTGATCTTCGTGCGGTGACATCGACAATCGAGACCGAAGATATTGAGAAGTTGTGCGAGGCCGTCCCTCCGGACTTAGCGGACCTGATTCGGAAATACCCAGAGAACTTCCCGGACGAACTGCCAGCTGGACTCCCACCGAGCCGACCTGAATACCACCGCATCGAACTGGAGCTCAGCGCCCAACCGATGGTACAGCGCCAATTTCGGCGCAGCCAACCAGAACTCGAATAATTACAGCAGCAGCTAGATTACCTTCTCACGAAAGGATTTATCCAGCCCAGCACGTCCCCATACGCCGCCCCGATACTGCTCACGCCAAAGAAGGATGGAAGATTTAGAATGTGTATCGACTACCGAGCACTCAACCGGATCACCATCAAGTCGCGTTACCCGATCCCGCGAGCCGACGAACTTCTCGACCAACTTCGCGGTGCCAAATTTTTCTCAAAAATTGACTTGCGAGGAGGTTACCATCAGATTCGTGTCGCTGCTGAAGATTGTCACAAGACGGCATTCCAAACCCGCTATGGCAGCTTCGAGTACCTCGTGATGCCTTTTGGCCTCACGAACGCGCCCTCGACCTTCCAAATGACCATGAATGGAATTTTCAGGGAACTCTTGGACAAATGCGTCATCATCTACCTCGACGACATACTAATCTACAGTCGCAGCAGGGAGCAGCACTTACATGATCTTGATGCAGTCTTCATGTTGCTGCGCAAGAATCGCCTAATCACCAAAGGCTATAAGTGCGACTTTCTTAAGCAGGAGTTGGAGTTTCTGGGCCACATCGTCTCTACTGAAGGAGTGAGAATTGACCCCAAGAAAATCAAGACCATATAGGAATGGAAGCCGCCAAGCAACATCAAGGAGCTGTAGAGTTTTTTTGGCTTCGTCAATTACGTCCACATGTTTATACCCAATATGGCTGGGTTATCTGCCACGCTAACTGACCGACTCAAGGATCACAAAAAAAAAATTTGGGGAGAGAAGCAGCAAGCTTCATTTGACCAACTATAGATCGCGCTCACATCGCCGCCCATCCTTCGCATCTCTAATCCTGACCGTCCATACGAAGTCATCACCGACGCTAGCGACATCGCCATCGGTGCAGTTCTTCTACAAGATTTCAGCGAAGGATTACAGCCAGTCGCCTACGAATCACGGAAGTTGCAGGGCGCAGTTAAAAATTACATGGTACATGACAAGGAAATGCTGGCGATCGTCCACGCGTTCAAGACATGGTAGTGCTACCTAACAGGCGAATCTCTTGGTGTACCTGTTAGGTAGCAACAGGTATTTGTGCTACCTATGCTACGTTCACGTCATGGTGCGAACCGACCACAAATCCCTCCAGTACCTCCGAGCCCAGCCGAATCTCAACCTGCGACAAATCCGATGGCTCGATTTCCTCGAGTCAAATTTCCATTACACCATCATCTACAAACGGGGCGCCAACAACATTGCTGATGCCCTGACCCGACCCACTACCCATACAGCCGCCATACTAGTTGCCCAGACCAGCCCACTCCTTACCGGACTATTTACCCACGGCTACAAGATCGACCCCTTCTTCCGCTCCATCATTCACCAACAGCATACCACCGATACCGGGCACTACTTTACCAAGCGCGACACTTCCGCATCTGGGTTTCCGGCTATGATTTACTTCGTACCCTTCTCATGCAGGAATCCCACGACAACCCTACCTTCGAGCATTTCAGAGTCGACAAAACCATGAAGACGTTGTAGCGCGATTATTACTGGCCGAACATGTCCGACGACGTGCGCAAGTACGTGTCCTCCTGCACCGCCTGCCAGATCATGAAATCATCCCATCAGCGAGCAGCTGGACTCTTACAGCTGTTGGATCCGCCCGAGAGACCCTGGCAACACATCAGGATGGACTACGTGACCGGACTGCCAGCCGGTCCCAGCCATCCTCGTGGTCGTTGACCGACTCACGAAAATGGCGCACTTCATCGCCTGCCAATAGAAAATTACAGCAGAGCAAACTGCCCAACTGTTCATCACCAACGTCATTAGACTGCATGGACTTCCCACCGCCATTATTTCAGACCGAGCCCCGAATTCTAGCGTCACCTGTCGGACCAATTCGGCACCAAACTACAGTTTTCATCCGCCTACCACCCACAGGCTAACGGGCAGATCGAACGAGTCAACCAAACTATGGAGCAACTCATTCGGACTACCTGCACTGACCCACAGACATGGGAGAAATCCCTTCCGCTGCTGGAATTCGCGTATAATAACGCGCCTTCCGCCACAACCTATCAATCCCCATTTTTCCTCAATCACGGACAGGACCTAGTGGTACCCTCTACACCCAGCATCGAGACACCTGTGCCCCGGTCCCAGCGATTTGCCGAAGACATCCTCGCCGCCCGAGAAAAAGCAGCTGAGGCAATTCGGAAACCCAACCTGGTCGCCAGCCGACAAGCCGATCGTCATCAACGTGACGTCACTTACAAAGTGGGAGATCTCGTGCTACTCGACACTCGCAATTTGCGCCTGCCGATTCCGAGCAAACTCCGACCCCACTTCTTTGGTCCTTTTCAAGTGACCAATATGGTGACACCTGTCACATCTCACCTTCGACTCCCGGCTTATTGGCATCACCACCCGGCTTTCCACGTCAGCCTACTACGACCCTACGTCCACAATTCATCGGATTTGGCACGTCAGCGCATCGTACCGCAGCTCACACCCTTGCAAAAACCGACGACCGAGCCTCTGAAGATTCTTGGCCATCGAGTTACAACGCAGCAGGACTGTCGAATGGTGGATTTTCGCGTCAGATGGCGTGATCGGACGTCCGAGGATGACTGCTGGGTACCCCTCGCTGATATAGAATCACACCCGATTCTAACAGCGTATTATCAGCGTCGGAATTTTTCCAATGCCCGCTGCCTCGTTTAGGAAGGGGGGGTAGTGTAAGGAATTTCCATTCCTTACTGAATCGCACGCTAGCGCGTACCCCCGAACTCCTCGACTCGTCACGTTCGTCCTCAATTGTCGGCCCAACCCTTTCCCGAGTCGCGTCCGGCACTGTCGCCACATTGCCGAACCTACCCACGTTTCGAGGTTATCGCCCTAGCACGCCAAACCCTATATAACCTCGTGCCTTCATTGCAATAGCAACCTTGTATTCTCACGTTATAGTTCATTGACACTTCCTATACCGTAACACAGTGAGAGGGCTAACGAAGTGGAAACTCGAAGGCGAGATTACAACTTAGGATGCAATTGCAACTAGGACGTGACGACTGACTGAGCTGTGCAGACTTGTAGGCGGAGCACGTACGAGAGGGGAGGCAGGGAGAGGGAGGAGCCACAGGGCTGGAATAAGCTGGTTGGATTGGTTGCGGAATCTTCGTTTTCGGCCTCGATGCTGTTAGGTTTGAAAAGCTGGTGTGTTAGGTTTGGCGAGTTCGCGCGCTTTTGCGTCGTGCCCCAACCAGAAGCGGCGACAAGCTCGGAGCAACCGAATGACTGCGAGTATTACAAGGAATTACTATTTATCTTGTCTTGTAATGCCTATCAACATGTTTCTTACTGGGTTGACATGCATGGCGTACATCTGAACTCTCGGAAGACCAGGCTCGGTCTGTCTTCGAAGCCCGTCCGAGGCGGGCTCGCGCCGCCTCTGAACCTTCGACCGCACTTGTACCCAGCCTAGCTTTCCGAGGTCCTCGCCTAGCCAGACCACACATACAACGCTAGCCCATCGTTGTACTCGTCATCGAATATTCCGCGTACTCTCAGCTATTATTCATGACACATGTGCTCTTCCAAGAAGCCAAATGCTAAATGTAAACATTCAGTCGCACTTGGGTTGTCTGATGATTTGGCTTCACCTCCGGAACGGACCATATATTTACCTAATAATGGTACACATTCGTCCAATTGTCCTTGCTCGAACGATAAACACAGTCAGCCCATTGGATCACCCTGTGATGTTTGTGGTAAAAATAAGTTGATGAAAATTTCAACTAAATTTTGTATTATTTAATCCACAATATTTCCATAAAAATCCAGTTCTTTTATATTATTCACTTTTAACGTCCGTTTTTTCAGTTGAAAATGGTTCTCAAACGAGTTCCTCCACCGACGACGTCTTGGGGTCGGGCAATATCGAATTTCGGCTCGTTATTAGTGTGGAATGAGGATGTATCGTGGCACCCTGGTTTGCTCGTGTCCAGTCAAAAGAGTGAGGGTTGGTGCACACGAATCGCGGAGAGTATAGGCACTTCGTGCAAATCGGTACAGTGGCACGAGCCACTTTGTGCCTTCGCCGTTTTTGATCGCACAGCACCATATCTGACCCATGAAACGTACCTTTCGGTCACCCCCTGAAACAGGTTTTGCACTTGCAACAGAAATTGCAACATGTTTCAATCCCTCGCCTGCATCCCCTCTCCCACACTTCTTGTCCCCACTTCCCTTGCACTCATTCCGTTTCCCGCTCTCCAGCTCTCGCTTCCCAGATTCCATGGCAGCCTCATTTTCCTTGTAGTTGGAGCCGCCCTCGTCTAGGTTTACGCCGTTGTCAATCAGAGCGTCTTACGAGATTTGGCTGCAGGAGTGTGGCAGTGGATCACTCGTTCGTCTGCTCCCTGATCTGCTTGTGCCGCCTACCCGCCGACCATGGGTTTCGATCCGGGTAGGAAGTCCTGACCTGAATTCTCAAAGACTCTCGAGTGCGATTTTTACGGTTTAGTTTGCTTCCTTAGATCTCTTCGGGTTAGGGTCGTTCTTAGGGTTGTTAGGGTCGACGTTGCACAGTCAAAGAGTTGTTAGGTCGGGCGTTCATCGCGGGGAGTGTCGAACAGCTTGAAAGAGACTTAGGTCAACTCCGGTGTAGCAGACGGAGTACTTGCGTAATCGGCAACTGTCGTACAAAGTTGAACCTTGGCTTTCACCTCCCCCACTTCTGTTTCCGCCTCCCCACTCCCGCCCCGCCCCGCGTGTATCCCCTCGTTCCCCCTCCCGTCCCCACGCCCAGTTGTGTGCGCTCTTTCTCTCCCCACCGTCATTGCCATTCATTTCCATACTCTCCCCGCCTCGCTTCCCTCTATCCCGCAGTTCACCCTTTCACCCTCTCGTCCTCCTTCATCCTTTCCACAGCCCCTTTTCCTTCTGTCTTTCCTTTTCTCTCGCCCCCTCTCTCTCCCCCTCTCCCTTCATCCACCCCTCACTCAAACACACTCACGTTCGATCGCACGGCCAGACGAGGTAGATCGCGAGGAGGAAGAGGAGGAAGAGGAGGGCGACGACGTGAACGGGGAGGATGACGACGAGGAGGAAGGTAGGGCGAGAGGAGGGGGGTAGGGCGAGAGGAGGGAGGTAGGGCGAGAGGAGGGAGGTAGGGCGAGAGGAGGGAGGTAGGGCGAGAAAAGGGCACTTGTTGGAAGATCCAGAGCACGTGAAGAAGGGAGCATGAAGGCTGACAGTCGGTCCTGCGACTGTATGTTGATAATGCAATGGCAGTGGCGACATTGTAGGGGAGCAGCGGGCTTTGACAGTGGCGACTCAAAGGTAAGTTGGCAAGTTGGCAGTCGTCTGATTGCGTGTCTGTCCTGTTTGTGGGGGGGTTGCGCAGAGGAGGGGCAGGACGAGTATGAGAAGGACGGGTGGATGGTGGACGGGGACGAGGAGGAGGAGGAGGGGGGGGAGGGGGAGGAGGAGGAGGGGAAAGGCGACGAGGGGCCTGGGAGCGACGAGGAGCGGCGGGAGAAGAAGAAGAAGAAACGCCGGAAGAGGTGAGGCACGGGGGGAGCAAGGGCGCTAACTGAAGGTACCCATGCCATGCCCCATGTCCCATGCCCCATGCCCCATGAACCATGCCCCATGCCCCACCCATTCTCTTCCCCCCCCCGGCTACCCATGCCCATTCCCCCATGACACGTGTCTCACGCCCTATGCCCCTTCCCCACCCCCCGTTCCTGCCATTCCCCATGTTCCCCATGTTCCCCATGCGCCATGGCATGCTGTGCGCCATGGCATGCTGTGCGCCATGGCATGCTGTGCGCCATGGCATGCTGTGCGCACAGGGAGGAGGAGGACGACGAGCTGGACGAGGACGACTTTGCCCCGTGCCCTGTGCCCTGTGCCCTGTGCCCTGTGCCCTCTGCCCCGTGCCCTCTGCCCTCTGCCCTCTGCCCTCTGCTCCGTGCCCTCTGCCTCGTGCCCCGTGCCCCATTGCTGATGGCCCATGCCCCATGCCCGTGTGTCATGCCGCAGGGAGGAGGAGGACGACGAGCTGGACGAGGACGACTACGCACTGCTGCAGGAGAGTGGCGTGGGGGGCTTCCACCGCCCCGCCAAGGTGCGCTGGTAGAGGCTGGAGGTGATGAGGTGATGAGGTGATGAGGTGGTGAGGTGGTCATTGAGGACGCGGAGGCCAGCCATGGCTGAAGTGGACTAAAGAGCTCCCACTTTCTCTCTCCGCCTGTGGCCTCCTCTCTTTTCTCTCCATTGCGTGTTGCACGGGCGACATATTTCCCTCTCCCCCCTGTTCTCCTCATTCCACCCCGGCCAGAAGGACAAGCAGTTCAAGCAGCTGAAGAAGGCGCGGCACACAGGGGACGACGTGGACCTCGGGGTACCCTTGTGCTCATTCGTTCTCGTATCCTCCCTGTAACCCCTCTGTTGTAACCTTGGGCTTGCAGAAGGACAAGAAGTTCAAGCGGCTGAAGAAGGCACGGCACATGGGCGGGGACGAGGAGGGGCTGCTGATGGACGACGAGGAGGACGAGGAGGGCGGCATGCGCGCACAGCACCGCGTGGAGCGCGAGATCTTTGGGGACGAGGGTGAGGGGTAGGGGGATGAGGGCGAGAGGGGTAGGGGGATGAGGGCGAGAGGGGTAGGGGGATGAGGGCGAGAGGGGTAGGGGGATGAGGGCGAGAGGGGTAGGGGGATGAGGGCGAGAGGGGTAGGGGGATGAGGGCGAGAGGGGTAGGGGGATGAGGGCGAGAGGGGTAGGGGGATGAGGGCGAGAGGGGTAGGGGGATGAGGGCGAGAGGGGTAGGGGGATGAGGGCGAGAGGGGTAGGGGGATGAGGGCGAGAAGGGTAGGGGGATGAGGGCGAGAGGGGTAGGGGGATGAGGGCGAGAGGGGGATTGGAGGGTGGGGGTGAGAGGGGGGGGGTCGGATGGGGGTGAGAGAGGGGGGGTCAGATGAGGGTGAGAGGGATATGGGGATGAGGGGGAGAGAGAAAGTATTGATGTGATGGTGGTAGTAGGTGTTTTGAGATTGATGGAGTTCTGGCATGGCGGGTTGCCGCTGCTGACTGGCTCCAGCGTGTTGTGCTGCCACTTGCACGCCGGTCGCGTTCTCCGACCGTTTTGTCCCGGCTACCTCCCGCTACGCGTCTTCCATGTGTGTGCGTGTCCTCTCGTCCTCCTTCGCCTCTCTCCATCCCTCTTCACCCGCCCTCCCCCTGTCAGACGTGCCTGAGGATTACTAGGACAGGGAGGAGGAGCGGGAGGAGGAGGAGGGAGGAGGAGGAGGAGGAGGAGGAGGAGGAGGAGGAGGAGGAGGAGGAGGAGGAGGAGGAGGAGGAGGAGGGAGGAGGAGGAGGAGGAGGAGGAGGAGGAGGAGGAGGAGGAGGAGGAGGAGGAGGAGGAGGAGGAGGAGGAGGAGGAGGAGGAGGAGGAGGAGGAGGAGGAGGAGGAGGAGGAGGAGGGAGGAGGAGAGGAGGAGGAGGAGGAGGAGGAGGAGGAGGAGGAGGAGGAGGAGGAGGAGGGCAAGGACGAAATGGCCGATTTCATCATGGAGGGCGGGGTGGACAACACGGGCGAGCATGGCAGGCGGTGTGCGTTCACCTCACTCTCGTCCTCTGCTTCCCTCCCTCTGCGCCCTCCCCCTGCCAGACGTCCCCGAGGATTACCAGGACAGGGAGGAGGGGCGGGAGGAGGAGGAGGACGACGAGGACGGGGAGGACGAGGAGGAGGAGGACGAGATGGCGGACTTCATCGTGGAGGGCGGGGTGGACGACACGGACGAGCACGGCAGGCGGCGCCGCAAGAAGAAGAAGAAGGGCATGCGCATGCCAGGTGTCACCTCCGAGGCGCTCCTCGAGGCGCAGGATATTTTTGGTGACGTGGCAGATCTGCTGGAGAGGCGGCGGGTGGAGCTGGAGAGGCAGAGGAGGGAGTCAGGGGAGGGGGGGGGGGGGGGTATTACTACGAGGACGGGATGGGGGGGGAGGGCGGGGAGGAGTATGGGCGGGAGGGCGCGGGGGGGCCGTCGGCTCTGTCGAAGCAGTACGAGCCGAGCCTGCTGGAGGCCAAGTACATGACGGAGAGGGATGAGGCCATACGCGCCAGGGACGTGCCGGAGAGGCTGCAGGTGGGTGCTGGGAGTTGGGAGATGGGAGATGGGGGATGGAGGTTGGGGGATGGGAGGTGGGAGGTGGGGGATGGGGGATGGGGAATGGGAGATGGGTATGGGCGATGGAAGATGGGTTTGGGAGATGGGAGAAGTTGGGAGATGGTTTGGGATGTGACTTTGAGAGAGGTTGGTGCAGGCAGAGGGGCTCTAAAGTCACTGCGAGAGTGCAACTCCCCTCCTCGAGAGGACGGGGCTGTAGACGTTGTTGCTCGTTAAGTTCTTGCAAATGGAGAAAGCCGATTTTCTAGCTCGCTTCCCTGTTCTCCTCCGTCCCACCCCCTGTAGTCGAGTGGATCCGAGTGGATCTACTACTTCGTATTCGGCCCGCTGGCCACGACCACCTGCGGGCTGGCAAGTTTTTGAATGTGGGCGAGGCAGAGACGCGTGCTGCGTATGTGATGATATTAGGCCCTCGTTGACATCCGGTTCCGTTTCTTCCCCTCCCTCCCTTCGTCCCTTCCTGCCGCCTGTACAGCTTTTGGAGGAGGTGGTGGGAGTGATCCCCGAGAACGAGGACCACCTGCCCGAGGCCGAGTGGATCTACGACCGTGTGTTCGGGCCGCTGGCCCCCGACCACCTGCGGCGCAGTGAGTTTGCGTACGTGGGCGAGGCGGAGCAGCGCGCCGCCACGTGCGCACGCGAGGACGTGGAGAAGTGCCGACGGGAGGCGCTGGCGGCGAGGGATAGGGCGATCGAGCAGATCGCTGCGGTGCTGGAGGAGATGCACGATGCCAAAGTGGAGGTAGAAAAGGGGGTGGGGGTGTTTGATGGGAAGTGAGGGTTATAGTGAGTGAGTGCTGTGTGTGTGGTGGTTCAAGTGTCGAAGGGAGGCGATGGCTGCGAGGGATAGATTGCTGCAGTGCTGGAGGAGATGCATGATGCAGACGTGGAGGTAGGGAAAAAGGGGGGGGGGGGGGATTTGGGGGGGGGGGGGGAAGTGCAAGAGAAGAGGGGTTATGGTGAGTGAATGCGGAGTGTGTGGTGGTTTAGTCGGAGGGACGCGATGGCAACCGGAGATAGAAATTTGACTTTATTTACGACGTAGCTGCTTGAACCATGTGTGGAGGTGGAGGAATCCGCCTGAACTTTGAAGGTAGCCATGTGTACGCAGCTAGATTGGGCTGGGCTGTATGCTGGGCCGGTCGGCAAGCTCTCAGAAAGGCTCTTATGAAGAGACAGCTATGCTCGTCGAAGAGGGAGCGCTGAAGTCTGCCGGACGACTGAGGCGTGAAGAGCTTTCTTGAGAGCTTGATTGAAGAGCCCTGCACACAGCGTCATTAACCGGCCAATCTCGCTGCGTGCACGCGAATACCTTCAAAGTTCTGGCGGATTCCTCCACCTCCGCGCACAGCTAAAGCAGCCGCGTCGTAAGCGTGATCAAATCTCCATCCCTCACCACGCACCAGCTGTAGGTTCGGCAATGCCAGTGGTATGGTCTCGCAAGCCTGTTGGATGGAGTGTACCACTTCCTGAAAAGTAAGGACAGGCTTGAGCAACGGGTCGGCACCCAGGGTTTTGGCCGGGTCGGGTCGACCCTCTTTGCAGCTCGACACGACCGTGTCGGGTCGGATTTTACCCGTCGGGTCGGCCGACCTGGCGCTTTTGGTCGGGTCCGGTCGGGTCGGTTCGGGTTGGGTGGACCGCAGGTCAGGCCGTGCACTGACTCGGAAATAGGCCTTCCCGTATTTCTACCTGCTGTTTCGGCACCTGGCTGTGTTCCCCTTGGATCCATCGCCCAACCCCCCTGTGTGTTGGCGTCCCCCAGGTGCCATACATCGCGGTGCACAAGAAGGCCATCTGCCCGGCCCTTGTGGAGCCTGACAAGCTGGACGAGCAGCCCGACCTGCAGTCCCTCCAGGTGCGCCAACGCTCTCCGCCTCGGCCCGCCTGCTCCTTCTCCACCCCTCTCCATTCCCCCATCTTCCACCTCTCTCCCCCCATCCCCCCTTCCTCCTCTCTCTCTCTCTCCACCTCTTCCCAATCTTCCTTCTTTCATCTCCCTCTCTCCCTCCTCTCTGCACCCACTTTACTCTCACATGCCTGATCAATCCCTACCCCTACTGCCATGCTTCATTCACCCTCTCGCCTCTTCCCTTGCCATGCCTTTTTTCCCCCCTCTCCCTCCCCCGTTCCCCCCCGCTCCCCCCTCCCCCCCTTCCCCCCCTCCCACAGGCCCTGTGGGCAATCCAGCAGTGGGATCGGCGCTGGCTGCTGCTGCAGCGGCGCAAGCGCTCCCTCCGTTCCGCGTACGAGCGACCCCGAATCGACGAGGACGAGGAGGCGGAGCGACAACTCGCCATGCAGGGCGTGCTGCACGCGCTGGACTGCGCGCTCTCAGAGCCGGCGGTGGAGGACGTGGACGCCAAGTTCAACCTGCAGTTCCCCCCGGAGGAGGCCGTTGGGGAGGACGGCGGGCCCGCGGTGCAGAGGAGGCCGAGGAAGCGGTCCATGTACTCCGTGTGCCGGCGCGCCGGGCTCAAGGGGGTGGTGAAGCGGCTGGGGCTGTCGGCGTTCCAGCTGGGGGAGAATCTGATCTCCATGTACAAGGTGAGAGAGCGGTGTGCACGTGCGTGGTGGACGACACGCTGCTGTCGCCCGAGGGTGTAGCCACGGAGTACCCGTCGACTTGAGTCAAGTGCTCGACCCAGTCCTACTCCCCCTTCTCCCTGCGCGCAGCAACACGAGGTGGACGACACGCTGCTGTCGCCCGAGGGTGTCGCCACGGAGTACCCGTCGACTTGAGTCAAGTGCTCGACCCAGTCCTACTCCCCCTTCTCCCTGCGCGCAGCAACACGAGGTGGACGACACGCTGCTGTCGCCCGAGGGTGTCGCCACGGAGTACCCGTCGACTTGAGTCAAGTGCTCGACCCAGTCCTACTCCCCCTTCTCCCTGCGCGCAGCAACACGAGGTGGACGACACGCTGCTGTCGCCCGAGGGTGTCGCCACGGAGTACCCGTCGACTTGAGTCAAGTGCTCGACCCAGTCCTACTCCCCCTTCTCCCTGCGCGCAGCAACACGAGGTGGACGACACGCTGCTGTCGCCCGAGGGTGTCGCCACGGAGTACCCGTCGACTTGAGTCAAGTGCTCGACCCAGTCCTACTCCCCCTTCTCCCTGCGCGCAGCAACACGAGGTGGACGACACGCTGCTGTCGCCCGAGGGTGTCGCCACGGAGTACCCGTCGACTTGAGTCAAGTGCTCGACCCAGTCCTACTCCCCCTTCTCCCTGCGCGCAGCAACACGAGGTGGACGACACGCTGCTGTCGCCCGAGGGTGTCGCCACGGAGTACCCGTCGACTTGAGTCAAGTGCTCGACCCAGTCCTACTCCCCCTTCTCCCTGCGCGCAGCAACACGAGGTGGACGACACGCTGCTGTCGCCCGAGGGTGTCGCCACGGAGTACCCGTCGACTTGAGTCAAGTGCTCGACCCAGTCCTACTCCCCCTTCTCCCTGCGCGCAGCAACACGAGGTGGACGACATGCTGCTGTCGCCCGAGGGTGTCGCCACGGAGTACCCGTCGACTTGAGTCAAGTGCTCGACCCAGTCCTACTCCCCCTTCTCCCTGCACGCAGCAACACGAGGTGGACGACACGCTGCTGTCGCCCGAGGGTGTCGCCACGGAGTACCCGTCGACTTGAGTCAAGTGCTCGACCCAGTCCTACTCCCCCTTCTCCCTGCGTGCAGCAACACGAGGTGGACGACACGCTGCTGTCGCCCGAGGGTGTCGCCACGGAGTACCCGTCGACTTGAGTCAAGTGCTCGACCCAGTCCTACTCCCCCTTCTCCCTGCGCGCAGCAACACGAGGTGGACGACACGCTGCTGTCACCCGAGGATGTGGCCACGGAGTACATCTGCGCCGAGTTCCCCTCGCCCACCCTCGTGCTCAGAGGCGCACGCCACATGGTGGGTGGGTGGGGCATGGTGGCGCATGATGCATGGTGGTGGGTGGCGATGGTGGAAGCGATGGCGGGTGGGGCATGGTGGTGGGTGGGGCCCCCCACCGTGGGGGGTCATGATGGTGTGTGGGGCATTAGAGCTGCCCAGCGCATGGTGTTTGGGAGGTGGTGGGTTGTGTATGGAGCTCAATGCCACATGCCTGGCCACACACCGCCATGCCACACATGCCTTTGCGGTGCTCTCATGCTGTACTGTACAGTGTATGACCCACACCGTTTGTTGCATCTTGAACCGTTTCATGTGATCGCATTGTGGAATGTGTGCTGCTTGGTGTGGTGCTGGCTGCCCCTTGTTTGCATGGCCGCGTGATGCATCTGTGTGGGCGTGCATCGGCATGGCATGTTTGCTGCGCGATTGGCATCTATGGAACATATGGCACGTATACGGCATTGCACGGATGGCACGGATGGCACGGATGGCAGGCGGAGGTGGAGATCAGCATCGAGCCCAAGGTGCGGGAGCACGTGCGGGAGATCTTCAACAAGCGCGCCATCGTCTCCACCAACCCCACGCCGCGCGGCCGCCAGGTAACGCCCCACCAGACCCTGTGCTTATGGTGACAAGACAGGTAAAGGCCCCCTGGATTCACCATTCCAGCTTAAATGGACCGACGTGGATGGCAGGTCGCAGCAGCGGACTGCTCTCCTCTCTCTCGCCCCGGACTGGACTACCTCTTCTTGTTTCTCTCCTCTCCGCTCGTCTTCGCCATTCTCTATCCTGCTGCCTCCTTGACTCGCCCTCCCTATTCTCCCACCTCGCGCCTCGCTGCTCACTACCAGCCATCTCTCTTCAACTTCTGCCAACTTCCCCTCCTCCACCCTCGCCCCCCATTTCCTTCCCCCCCCCTCTCCCTCTCTGGCAGGTGATCGACACGTTCCACCGCTTCGCGGGCATCGAGCGGCTGAAGGAGAAGCCAGTGGGCGAGTTCCATGACGACCAGTGGCTGCTCATCGCCAAGGCCGAGACTGAGGGGCTCATTCAGGTCGAGCTGGGGCTGCCGCCCACCGTGGTGCAGGAGAACGTCATCCAGGTATGCTGCGGCTGTCGCCCACCGCGGTGCAGGAGAACGTGATTCAGGTGTGCTGTGCAAGGTGCAAAAAAAAGGCGTTTTTTTTCAAAATTTTATCGTATTATACGGTGCCGGATATTTCGGCCGTTTAATACGATTAAAAACGGTCAAAAGTGCCATTTTGAGGGTGGTGCAAAAAGACGGTTGTTTTTTCCGGCCGAAATTTTTAAACCCGAGTGGAATAGACTGCCGAAAATCGTGGATCTGGCATATTGACCATCGAAATGCGCGGATCTCGCATTTTGGCGGGCGAAATGCACAGATCTGGCATTTCGCGTGCCAAAATGCGCGGATCTCACACTTCGCCCACCAAAATTGGCCGATCTCACGTTTAGGTCGGCGAAATGCGTGGATCCGGAATTTCGCCTGCCGAAATGCATGGATCTCGCGTTTTGGCGGCCAAAATGCGGGGATCTATTATGTGCGTGGATCTGCCCAAAAAAGGAAAAATAAAAAAGAAGAAAAAGAAAAACCAGGAATTTCGAACAAAAAAACGGCGTTTTTTCAGAAAATGGCCGAAAAAAACTATCGTATTATACGACCCGTATAATACGATTACCTTATTTTTGCACCTTGGCACTGTGGCTCTCTCTCAATCACCTAGTGGGAGGGCGGAGGGGCTTAAAGAGGGCGTCCTAGGGGCGAGTTCCGCGACGACCAGTGATTGCTCATCGCCAAGGCTGTGGCCGAGGGAATCGTAGGAGTCGAGGTGGGGCTGTCGCCCAGTGTGGTGCAGGAGAACGTGATCCACTTGGGTTCTAAGGATTACGGCTTTAGGGTTTGAGTTCAGCTGAGATGCAGTGCAGGAGAACGGGATTCAGGTGGGGGTTGAGAGCTTTTGGATTAGGGGTGGGTTGTGTGTGGTGCGCGAGATCGTCGTCTCAGTGGGGGTTGAAGGTTCGGGGTTAAGGCTCCTATGGTCTAGCTAGTGGGTGGTGCCGAAGAAGAAAACGCTGCTCGGGTGGGAGTGGAGAGCTCGCGGTAAAGGGTGTAGGGTTCAAGATTTAGGTTGGGCGTGGTGCAGGAGAACGTGATTCACATGGGGAGAAGAGAATGCACGTGGGTGGGCTGGGGGGCGTGCAGTGGGGCGTGATGATGCAGAGGCACACGCACAACACATGCCTTCTTTCTTGCTGTGGAACAAGCACGGGCGTTCTCAAGCCAGCTCTCTCCCCGCTTCCCCGCACCCTGTTTCCCTCAGGAGTTTGAGCCAGCCTTCGCTCACGGCGTGTCCCACTTCGCCTCTCTTTGGAACGAGCCTTCGTTTCCATCCCAACCCCTGCCCCTCGTCCCGCCTCCCCCTTAACTGCTTCTCAGGAGTTCGAAGCGGCTTATCTCTCAGATGGCGTGTTCCTCTTCGCGGGTCTCTGGAACGAACAGCATTCTCATGTTGACCCCCCCCCCTCTCCTCCCTTTCCCTCCCCCCTACGCCACCCTTTCCTTCTCTTCTCTTCGTGCTTCTCAGGAGTTTGAAGCGGCCTATCTCTCAGACGGAGTCTCCCACTTCGCAGGTCTGTGGAACGAGCAGCGCCGCACCATCCTGCGCGCGGCCATCGCGTCGCGCCTGCTGCCCACGATGCACAAGGAGACGCGCCTGCTGCTCACCGGCCGCGCCAAGGCCTTCGTCTCCGAGCAGTGCGCGCTCTCCCTCTGGAAGCATGTCTCCGTGGCTCCCTTTGACGTCCGCGCCAAGGGGGCGGGAGGGGGCGGAGGGGGGGGAGGGATGGGCGGAGGTGGGGGAGGGGGGATGCGGGGGGGCGGCGGGAGGGGCGGGAGGCATGGGGGAGGGGAGGAGCATGGGGGCGGGCAGCCGTGGCTGCGGGTGATGGCTTGCTGCTGGGGGCCTGGTAACCCTGCGACCACGTTTGCCATGCTGAACGCCGCAGGCGAAATGGTTGACTTCATTCACACTGGGTTCCTCTGCGCTAGGACGGGGCAGCCCAAGGGGGACACGGGGATGGGGGGTGCGGCAGGAGGGGCGATGGGGGGAGCGGGGGCAGGGGGCGGCGGGGGTGAGAAGGGCGAGCAGCAGGTGATGGTGATGAAGAAGCGCGAGGACGAGAAGCGGCTCATGAGCTTTGTGAAGGAGCACAAGCCGCACGTGGTCGTGGTGGGCGGCGCCAACCTGGCGTGTGAAAGGCTCAAGGACGAGATCTGGGAGGTCAGTGGGAGGCCCATGTGTGGTGCATGGGCTACTGTAGTATCGCTTGTGGGGATTGCTATGAGGGCTTTGGGATGGGAGCTTTGGGATGGGGGCTTTGGGATGGGGCCTTTGGGATGGGGCCTTTGGGATGGGGGCTTTGGGATGAGGGCTTTGGGATGGGGGCTTTAGGATGGGGGCTTTGGATGGGGGCTTTGGGATGGGGGCTTTGGGATGGGGGCTTTGGGATGGGGGCTATGGGATGGGGGCTTTGGGATGGGGGCTTTGGGATGGGGGCTATGGGATGGGGGCTATGGGATGGGGGCTTTGGGATGGGGCCTTTGGGATGGGGGCTATGGGATGGGGGCTTTGGGATGGGGGCTATGGGATGGGGGTTAAGGGATGGGGGCTTTGGGATGGGGGCTATGGGATGGGGGCTTTGGGATGAAGGGGCTGGGATTCGGGCGCGTGGGTGCATCGATCAGAACAGATATGATATTTTTTTGCGATCGGGTGTCACATAGGCGTGTCTGCCCCTCATTTGCCGTTTCTCTCTCGGCCCCTTTACTTGTGTGGTTGCTCACATGGTCGTTTCCATTCCTCCTCCCTCCCTCCTCCCTCCCCCCCGCAGGTCATCTTCAAGATCGTGGAGCACTTCCCTCGCGACCTCACGTCTGATGTGGACAATGTCCGGGTGAGCGCTTATTTTGTGAAATCGAGTCGTCCTGGCATTCACTCTTTTGCCCTTACTGCCTTTCAACATGCCATCACCATCGCATCGCTGACTAAATCCTTTCCTCCGTGCCGCCCCTGCCCTTCCCTCTGGCCGCCCACGAGTGCTGTGCAGGTGGTGTTTCAAGACGAGACATTCGCTCTGCTGTATGAGAATTCCGCCATCTCGCTGGAGCACCTGCCGTCGCAGCCAGGCGCGTGCCATCACTGGATTGTTGTTGTGGGACCTTGCCATCACATGTTTCTACACCTCATGTGTCCAACACTTGTTTCAACTCCTCTTGTCTCTCATTCCCACCCACGGCCCGAAAGCATTCTCAAATTCGCCTTTCATAATTTTGGAGAGTAATCCCTTCCCTGCTTTCTCTCTGTCTCATTCGTTTCCCCCTGTTCCCTCCTTCCCTCGTCTCTTTCTCGTCATCCATCCTCCCTTCATCCGGCCCATTAACAGTCCCCATGCCAAAGCACTTCCCCCTGCTGCTATCTGTTTAACCCTTGTCCTCCCAAGCCCTCTGATGGGGCACGTGGTGCCCTGCACATCATGAGTGTGGTCACTGCAGACGCGCTTGGAATGTTCCGACACCATTCAACCCGTGTGCCCCGCGCCTCCTCCCCGCCATCAGGCATAGTGCGGCGCACGGTGGGGCTGGGGCGCTACATGCAGAACCGCCTGGCCCTCACCGCATGCCTGTTTGGGCCGGCCAGGGAGATCCTGTCAGCCAAGTTCCACCGCTCGCAGGACCTGCTGCCACCTGATGATGTCTATGACGCACTGGAAAGGGTCATGGTTACAGTTACCAACCAGGTAGGGTTACCAGCAAGATAGGGTTACCAACCAGGTAGGGTTACCAGCAAGATAGGGTTACCAACCAGGTGGGGTTACCAACCAGGTGGGACTAGCAAACTGGTGGGGTTACCAACCTGGTGGGGTTACCATCCAGGTGGGGTTACCAACCCCTGGTGGGCAACTAGTACTAGGGTTACCAATGAGCTAGGGTTACGAGCTAGATAGAGTTACGAGCTATAGTAACATGACACAACTCTTTGCATGCTTCGGTTCTCTCTCATGCCTTTGTTGTTTCCTTTGCCTTCCACCCGCTCCCTGTTCGCAGGTGGGCGTGGATGTGAACTATTTGGCCCAGGAGGCGCAGGACTGGTTCTTTGCCCCGCTTCAGTTCGTATGTTAGCGTGGCTTACCTTGGGCCGGAAAATGTGTCAACCCTTAACGTCTCTCTCCTTCTTCCCCTTGTCCTCCATGCTCACAGGTGGGCGTGGATGTGAACTACGCTGCCCAGGAGGCGCAGGACTGGCTGTTTTCCCCGCTGCAGTTCGTGTGCGGCCTCGGGCCCAGGAAGGCGTCCACGCTCAAGGTGAGTGCCTTGGCTCCCTGCTGACATGACCCATTTCGCCCATCTGTCTTCCATCCCTCACCCGTGTCTGGCACACTCTTGCCCTCTCGCCCTCCCTTCACTTACTTCCCCCCTCCGCCCTCGTACCCCTGCCCCACCCACCCCCCTGCATCCCCCTCCCATTATCCTATTCTCCCCTCTCCTGCTCCCCTCCCACTCCCCGCAGGTGCGCATTCTGGGGGAGGGAGTGGTGCGGCGCCGCAAGGACCTCATCGACCCGCCCTTCCTGCTGGACCAGGTGCGTGAACCATTCTCCATCTGATTTCTTGCTTGCTCTTGGATGGGAATTGCAGCCCCCATGTACCCTCGTAGCTGCTGTCTTATGGGAACTCACACCGCTCTCCCTTTCCTCTGGCCCAACCCCCTCCCGTCCTTCCCGCGTGCCGCTTATTATCGCCGCAGCACGCATCTGCATGAGGCGCCAGAGCGACCTGCTCCAACCTCTAGATTGAAGCGTGTCGCTCTTGTCGGTCCTGCTCTGATGACACAAGATGGAAGGCGAGACGCCCCCGAATGAAACCCCCATCTCTTCCTGTGCCGGTTCTCTGTATCTCCAAAGCGGTGTTCATCCGCGTGCGAGGCCAGGACGACATGCTGGACGACTCGCGCATCCACCCGGCCGAATACCGCCTCGCGCTCAAGGTGGCGACGAATGACTACTGCGAGGCACACCGCGGGATGACTGCCTGAGAGGCGCAGCAGAACCACAAGCTTCTCCTGGTTTGACACACGCCCCCCTCTTTCCCCCCGTCCGCGCTCCCTTCCGCCCCTTCTTCCTCCCAACCCCTCCCGCTACAGGTTGTCTTCATCAACGCCGCTGCCTTTATCCGCGTGCGAGGCCAGGACGACATGCTGGACGACTCCCGAATCCACCCGGCCGACTACCGCCTCGCGCTCAAGGTGGCCACGGACGGGTACTGCGAGGCGCACCGCGGGATGACGCCTGAGAGCGTGGAGGAGCGCGGCATCGACGTCGTCGTCGAGGCTCGGGACAACCCGGACCTGATCCGCAGGCTTGACTTCGAGGACTACGCAGTCATGCTGGCTCGGAAGGGGCAGGGCGGGCTCAAAGAAAAGCTGCTGCTGATCCGACGCGAGCTGATGCACGGGTTCGCGGAGTGCCGCACGCAGTTCGAATCTCTAAACGCGGACGAGCAGTTCTGGCTGCTGAGCGGCGAGACGGAGGAGAGCCTGGCGATCGGCAAGGTGGTGACGGTGTCGGTGAAGCGTGTGCTCAAGTTCAAGGTGCTGTGCGCGCTGGAGAGCGGCGTGCTGGGCGAGGTGGACCGCAGGGACTTCAGCGACGACCCCAATGTGGAGCTCAGGGACGTGGTCACCGAGGGGCAGCCGCTGACGTGCCGGATTAAGGAGGTCAAGAAGGAGGAGGCCAAGGTGGGTGTGGGGCGTTTGTATGACTGGGTAACTTGGCTTTCGGTGGGAAGATATGGCGTACAGTGTGCAGTTTTTAGCCCAGTTCTGGACAGCACCAGCCAGCATGCTTCACCTCGTGTATCTCCATTTGCTTGAGCTTGCTTCTTTTCTCTTCATTCCCCACACCATCCCGGTTTGAGCTTCCTTCGCCCCGTGCCACTCTGCCACTCCCGTCTCTCCTCGCCCACATCATTTTGATGTGCAAGGGCAGCAACTTACGAAGCATGGAGTGGCGGGAGATGCGGCAGTGGGACCTGCACTACCAGAGGGCGGCGGTGGAGCAGGAGGAGCAGGCATTGCAGAAGGAGCACCCTTGCATCCACACACGGAGGTTCCCCCCCGCTGCCTATCCACCCCTCTTTCTGCCCCGCAGGTGATTCTAACGTGCAAGGGCAGCGACTTAAGAAGCACCGAGTGGCGGGAGATGCGGCAGTGGGACCCGTACTACCAGCGGGCGGCGGTGGAGCAGGAGGAGCAGGCTGCGCAGGAGGAGAGGAAGAAGCGCGAGGAGGACAAGAGGAAGTCGGCGTTCCGCCCGCGCATGATCACCTACCCGCTCTTCCAGAACGTGTCGCTGGATGGCGCTAAGAAGGTGCGTTGTTTGTGAGTCGCTCCAGTAGCAGAGGAGGGGAAGACGAGGGGGGGTAGGAAGAGCGAGGAGGGCAAGAGGGAAGCCGCCTTTTAGAACGTGTCGCTGGATGTCGCTAAGAAGATGCATTGTTTGTGACACAAAAGGTGCGCTCAGTGAGATCAGTTGTGCTCACCTACTTTGAGGCGCTTCTAAACATGAATGAAACCTCCAACAGCCTTTTCATGGGCATCCTTTCCCCTTTCCCCCGTGCTGTCTTCCCTTCTCCCAACGCAAGGCCCTAGCGAGCAGGAGATGGGCAGTGTGGTGATCGGTCCCCCCCACGCACCTGAGCAGCACCATGAGGCTTTAAGACGCTCTATTCACGTGCATCCCTTCTTCTTCTCCACCCCCCCCCCGGCTCCCCCCCGTTTCCCCCGTCAGGCCCTCGCAGACAAGGAGATCGGCAGTGTGGTGATCCGCCCCAGCAGCCGTGGCCCCACACACCTGAGTGTCACCATGAAGCTGCCCGACGGGGCGTTCACGCATATCGACGTGCACGAGGGCGGCAAGGACCGCACCAGCGCCACCAGCTTCCTCCGCCTTGGGAGGACTCTGAGTATCGCGGACGAGTCGTTTGAAGACCTGGACGAGGTGAGGCCAGGGAGGAAGGGGGGCAATGGGGCATGAGGGTTGTGGCGGTGGAGACACCTAATGGGGCACGAGGGCGGCAAGGGCCACACCACTGCCACCAGCTTCCTCCGCCTCGCCGCACGCTCAGGATTGCAGGCGAGTGGTTTGAATATGTGGACGAGGTGAGAAGGGGTGACTGTTGTGGCAGCTCTGGATGCCTCATGGGTTGAGACGCATCATGTCTTATGGGGCGTTAGAAGACCTGTGTATGAGATGAGGAAGAAGCGAGTGTAAGCTGTTACATTCCTCCCTCCCTCCATCCCATCCTTTCTCTTCGCCTTGTTTCTCTTTATTTATCCTGCTCTTCCTCCCTGCCTTGCTATCTCCTTACCTCTCCACCCCTCCTCACCCCTCTCTCAGGTGATGGCGCGCTACATCGAACCCCTGGCAGCCTTCATCCGCGACATGGCGGCGTACCGCAAGTTCCGCGCGGGCAGCAAGGCGGACATGGACGCCCTGGTGCGCGCCGACAAGGAGCGCGAGCCGGCGCGCATCCCGTACTACCTGTCCATCTCGCACGACCACCCGGGCGCCTTCATGCTCACCTACATCCGCTCCGCCTCCGTCTCCGGCCGCCCCGTGCACGAGTACATCACCGTTTCGCCCGTGGGGTTCCGCTTCCGCAAGCACACGTTTCCGACCCCGGATCGCTTAGTTAAGTACTTCCAGGCCCATTTCAACGACCCGGTGGATGCTGGTGATGGTGGTGGGGGTGGGGGCGGTGGCATGGGTGGGAAAAGGGAGACTCCTCGCCGAGGGGGGGCTGCTGCTGGTGCGAGTGGTCATGGCTCGGGATTCTCTGGCTCGGGTCTGCCCTTGCCCCCTCCGCCCCCTGTGCCGGTAGGGGGAAGGGGTGGACGGTGGGACCAGGCTGGGTCTGGTGGGTGGGGGGCTGCTGGGGGAGGCGGGGAGAAGATTGGGTGGGGGGGAGGGGCGTGGAGTGGGGGAGGGGGGGAGAGCAGGGAGGGGGGCAAGTTTGGCAGCCTGGGGGAGGGGGTGGGAGTGGTTGGCAGAATACAGGTGGTTGGGGTGGTGAGGGAGGGGGAGGTGGAGGTGGAGGGAGGGGATGGGGGGGAGGTGGAGGGGCCGACAGGGGAGGTGGATCAAGAACTCCACTCAGAGGATGAATGTGATGTGAAAGGAATCATTGCGTTAGGAAGTTCTGATTAATTTGAATGGTTTCAGAGGTGAATGGTGCTTACTCGCCCCTTTTACAACCACAATGTGCCTATCCTGTACAAACTCGGGTTTCCACACACTTAATGGGGAAATGAACGACAGTGTACATCTGCTCGCGACGCGACCACTCCTTAGCCGAGACGTGATGTGTCGAGGCGATTCCACGGCGCAGTTTTTATTCCGTTGTGCTGATGTGGAGGATACACTGAGCGCCACGGTGTACACTGTAGCCTTGTCACAGCGCTTTTCAGGCCGAGGTGGGCAAACCTCCACGTTCCACATTCGGTTTTTGTAACGCTGTAACGCCCAGCGTGGCATCGCGTTTCCAGCAGTGACACTTCGCTCGGCCACGCGAATTTTATCCACTGACTGACTGGATTGCATTCCGCCACGCTCGCGCATCCCTTCCAACATTCCCTGGATTACTCAGTGCTCACCCCAGGCAGCGACTGCCAAGCCCAGCAAAGCAGGCCAAACAATTCCCTTATCTCCCAAACCCTCGACGGTCTCCAGCTAATGTGTGCTGGTGTAATCGCTTTCTCCCAGCGATTCCAGTTAGGGCTGTCTATCTCGAAGCCCTTCTCACAGCTGCCCCTCACCCAAACTTGTCTGGTTACCAGCAGAGAAAAATGGCGTCGTCGCTCGCCAGCTGTCCTCTCAAGGTCGCCAGCAGCGTCGCAGCGCCTGTCGCAGGCGACAGGTCTGCCGCGGCCGCATCGAGCAATGCGGCCGTCGCGGTGCCGTTCGTCGGCCTCAAGGCCGGCAAGGATCTCCCCGGTGCCGCCAAGGCCTCCCAGGCGAAGCAGACTTCCAGCCGCAAGATGCGGTCCGCCACGCGATCAGTCGCCGCTGGTCGCTCGCCCGTCATCTGCATGGCCGATGCAGGTGCGACTAGGCTCGTTCAGAGGGTTGTCTGTTGTACTTCAAAATAGTTCTCTATGTCCTCATATCGCGCGAAACCGTTTTCAGCTACCTGGTTTCGCACTCTGACGCTTTGCTCTGACGCCCGGTAGTCGTCAGCGAGTCGGAGCAAGGCGTACCATTCCCTGTCGCGAGGGTTCGTCGATGCCTGGTTGTTGAGATGCTCGGTGGAGAACCATCACTGCACGCCATGTCGCCTTGTGAACGTAGCGTACCGTTTCTCGTACTGAAGCTGAAGGTATATCGGGACGTCAACATCAGCATCGTGGTGCTCGTCCGCGTGCTCCTCTGCACCTCAGCCCCTGTGGATTTCCGCGGCTTGTGCGTCTGCGCCCTGCAATGTCCCTGTCTGCCCCTGTGCAGGCCGCGAGGTGCCCCTGGAGGACTACCGCAACATCGGCATCATGGCGCACATCGACGCGGGCAAAACGACGACAACGGAGCGCGTGCTGTTCTACACGGGCAAGAACTACAAGATCGGTGAGGTGCACGAGGGCACCGCCACCATGGACTGGATGGAGCAGGTGAGGCCTCAAAGTCACTCTGGGGGGGGGGAGAGGGGAAGGGGTCGGGGAGGGGCTGGCGGGTAACCGTTAGTTGGGTGGTTGTTGGGTGGTTGTTGGGTGGGTGGGCTGGGTGTGGTTCCATGTTTGCGCTATCGTCGAGGATTTGAGTGAAGCTTGATCGCGGGGCGCAGAAGCACGCAGACGATTGAAGTTGATCCAAGCACACCGCTATCCGCGCATCGTCGCGTTCATTCCCTCGTCGCTCTACTCTCTTCGCCCTCCTTGTCCCCCTACTCTCTTCGCCCTCCTTGTCCCTCTACTCTCTTCGCCCTCCTTGTCCCTCTACTCTCTTCGCCCTCCTTGTCCCCTCCCCTTCCTCCATCTCTGCAACTCTGCGTCACTCTGTCAATTCCTCACGGCTCGCCCCTCCTCAATCACCCTCGTCCTCAGGAGCAAGAGCGCGGCATCACGATCACATCCGCCGCGACGACGTGCATGTGGAACAAGCACCGCATCAACATCATCGACACGCCCGGCCACGTCGACTTCACGCTCGAGGTCGAGCGCGCCCTGCGCGTGCTGGACGGCGCCATCTGCCTCTTCGACTCCGTCGCTGGCGTCGAGCCCCAATCTGAGGTAAGTTCTGACCCAGGTACGCCCTGCGTGTCGTGCCAGCCCGTAGTAATAGGTAAGCCGCTCGAGGTGGAGCGCGCCCTGCGCGTGCCGGACGGCGCCATCTGCCTCTTCGGCTCCGTCGCTGGCGTCGAGCCCCATTTCGAGGTACGTCCTAGCATGTGACTCAAGGGCAAGGCTTGATGTTTTTAGGAGTGTTTCTTGTTGAGTTTACCGAAGCGTAACAGCCAAGTTGTGAAGAACGGCTTCTTACCGGTCTCTCCCCACCTTCCCCTCTCTCCTCCCCCCCCCCCCTCCACACACCCACCCTCGGTCACATCAGACGGTGTGGCGGCAGGCCGACAAGTACGGCGTGCCGCGCATCTGCTTCGTGAACAAGATGGACCGCCTGGGCGCCAACTTCTACCGCACGCGCGACATGATCGTCAGCAACCTGGGCGCCAACCCGCTCGTGCTGCAGCTGCCCATCGGCGCGGAGGACGCCTTCCAGGGCGTGGTGGACCTGGTGCGCATGCAGGCCATCGTGTGGAACGGCGAGGAGCTGGGCGCCAGCTTCGAGTACCGCGACATTCCCGAGGATCTCAAGGACAAGGCCGCGGAGTACCGCGCGCAGCTCGTGGAGTCGGTGGTCGAGCTGGTGAGTTGCGGGGAGGGGGGTTGGTGGTGGGTGGAGGGTGGGTGATGGGTCACTTAGAGGGTGGGTGGGTGGACGAGAGGTGGTTGAATCGTGCGCTTCCTGAAACGAGCACTCACTTGCAACGGATGTCCGCTCGTCGCTTTCTGGCGTGTAGATGATGGCAGCCCAAGGGAGGGCAGGGAGAGGAGAGGGTATGCGCAAGGCGAAATCGTTTAGGAATCGTGATACGAGCAGCACTCACCTACGAGTGGTGGATCGTCGACCGGGCATACCGACGATGTCTGTGGGAGCAGTTAGGGGTCCCACTCACCGTGGGAAGTCGTAGGCCGTAGCAGTTAGGCTAACGAACCAGGCGTAGACTTCCAGCTGGGTACGATGGGTGGAGGCGTATCTGGAGGGCGAGGAGCCCGACGAAGCCACTCTGAGGAAGCCGATCTGCTGGGGCCCTTTCGCCTCCGCTTTTTCACTCATCGCTTTGCTTCCCCCTGTCATCCATGTCCGTCTCATCGCCTGCCCGCAGGACGACGATGCCATGGAGGCGTATCTGGAGGGCGAGGAGCCCGACGAAGCCACCCTGAGGAAGCTCATCCGCAAGGGCACCATCGCGTCCGCATTCGTGCCGGTGCTGTGCGGCACGGCGTTCAAGAACAAGGGCGTGCAGCCGCTGCTGGACGCCGTCATCGACTACCTGCCCTCGCCCCTCGACCTGCCGCCCATGAAGGGCTCCGACCCCGACGACCCCGAGAAGGCCCTCGACCGCCCGCCCAGCGACTCTGCCCCATTCTCTGGCCTCGCGTTTAAGATTATGACGGATACGTTCGTGGGGTCGCTGACGTTCGTGCGCGTGTACTCCGGCGTGCTGACAGCGGGTACGTACGCGCTGAACGCGAACAAGAACCGCAAGGAGCGCATCGGGCGGCTGCTGGAGATGCACGCCAACTCCCGTGAGGACGTGAAGATCGCGCGCACGGGCGACATCATTGCTCTCGCCGGACTCAAGGACACCATCACGGGCGAAACCCTCTGCGACCCCGACGCCCCCGTGGTTCTCGAGCGCATGGACTTCCCGGACCCAGTCATCAAGGTGGCCATCGAGCCCAAGACCAAGGCGGATGTGGACAAGATGGCCAACGGGCTGATCAAGCTCGCCCAGGAGGACCCGTCGTTCCACTTCTCCCGGGACGAGGAGACCAACCAGACGGTCATCGAGGGCATGGGCGAGCTGCACCTGGAGATCATCGTCGATAGGCTGAAGCGGGAGTTCAAGGTGGATGCGAATGTGGGCGCGCCGCAGGTGAACTACAGGGAGAGCATTGGGCGGCCGGTGGAGGTGAAGTACACGCACAAGAAGCAGTCGGGCGGGCAGGGCCAGTTCGCTGAGGTGGTGATTAAGTTCGAGCCCCTGGAGCCGGGGAGTGGGTACGAGTTCAAGAGCGAGATCAAGGGCGGGACGGTGCCCAAGGAGTATGTGCCCGGCGTGGTGAAGGGGCTCGAGGAGTGCATGACCAGCGGCGTGCTCGCTGGCTTCCCTGTGGTGGACGTGCGCGCCACTCTCATTGGTATGTGTCAAGAGGCAGCTTTGTTACTACATGCTCGGGCATGCACACACACACACACACACACACACACACACACACACACACACACACACACTCACACACACACTCACACTCATGCACACAAGCGCACACACGTACTCCCCTGGATGCACTCCCAACCTTGGGCACAATTGTTTCCTTTGTCTGGATGGGCTCCAGCTATCCCTATCTGTCCGCCCCACCTTCACCTTCAGAAAAGACAATTCCCCTCCTCACATGCCACCCACCACAAGGCAGCCGCATCTGCCCAACACCCAACCCTCCTGCCACTCCAACTGCACCCACCTTTTCACTACCCTCATGGCTCTCGCCTCCGCCATCTCCCTAACCCTTTATCCCCCCACCCTCCCCTCCCGGTCCCCCCCTCATCAGAGGGTTCCTACCACGAGGTTGATTCCTCTGTGCTGGCCTTCCAGCTGGCGGCACGTGGAGCCTTCAAGGATGGTATGGGCAAGGCGTCGCCTCGTCTGCTTGAGCCAGTGATGAAGGTGGAGGTGGTGACGCCTGAGGACCACATGGGCGACGTCATTGGAGACCTCAACTCGCGCCGTGGGCAGATCAACAGCTTCGGGGACAAGCCTGGTGGCATGAAGGTGAGAACAAGGGATCATAAGGGTCAACCAGAGTCGAGAGGAAGAATGGGTGGGAGCAGGTTGGGTGATTAAGGCGGGTGTGGTGCAGTGCAGAGGAGCATGAAAGTTTTATAACTCTTGGGAGTAAGTTGGGCAGCTTAGGAAGAGGGTGAGAGGAAAGGCATGATGGATGAGGAATGAGGGAATATAAGT